CTGGTTGTCGTTCTCCCCCACGAAGCGTCCGTCAGGGCCGCGGCAGATCCGCTCCAGGGGCACGTGCTCCCCGACGTGGCTCTCGTACACGGCATACCGGGAGCCAGCCCCGGCAATGCTGAGACCCAGGCTGGTGCCGGCCTTCTCACCCCACAGCAGCGTCCGGCGCAGGCTCCGGTACGGAGATGGCTGCAGCTTCAGCTTCACGGTGCTGTCTGGGCTACCAGAGCCACGAGAATTGCTGTAAGGAGGAAGGGAGCCACTGCAGCACCTGCTCCAGGCTAGTCTGGCTGCCCCCCGTGCCGGGACATGTTGTTCCGGGCACCCAGCAGCAGGGACCGTGACCCTGCACTGCTGCTGTGGGCTCGACCAACCTGGTCCTGCGCTCTCTGATCCCTTCTGCAGCCAAAACTGTCAAGAAGGAGTGTCCCAGGGGAGCCCTACCCCACTGTACATCTTGACCCTGGCACCCTGCTCCTCATGCCCTGGACAGCGGCGGCAGGGGGGCGACTGCCCCCTGGCCTGTCCCTCTGCCCCCAGCCAGCAGCAAGCGAGTGATGGGGAGTGCAGCACGACAGGGAGGGAGTGGGATGGAGAGGGAGCGTGGCATGGTGTGACTTACTGTGGAGGTGGAAGCTTCTTGCTGGGGGAGAAGACGAGTGGTGGATCTGGAAGGTCATGAGAACACAAGGGGATCACACAGCAAGCAATGCAAAGTGACGATGAGGAGACAGTAGCACCCACTCAGCCCTACTCCCGCCCCTGGTGAGCCCCCCAGCCCCGGGCTGGCCTGTCCCCTCCCTGGGCATTGGCCCCTGCCCATGGCGCTTTGAGCTCTCCAGGAGCCCCGGGATCCGTAACCTGCGCCTGGCCAGGTGGCTCCTACCTTGCCTTCGCTTCTGCATGCGTGCGGCACGCCGGCGGTTCATGATGCAGGCGGCCATGGTGGTGAAGATGACAGCCACGCTGAGGAAGCAGATCCCCCCGATGACCCCGGCCAGCACTGGCTGCGGCAGAAGCTCCGGCAGCTGGGTGCGAGACGGATACACCTCCATGCCTGGGCCAGACAGGAGACACCATCAGAGACTTGGTTACCCATGGAGTGTGCCAGCACAGCCTCCCTCATGTCACCAGCACCACAGGGATAAAATGGCAAAGCCTCAGCTCTCGCCCGTCAGGGCTGCTCTGCCTTTGGGCAGACCCATGCCCTCTGCTGTGCCAGGAGCGGGGATGCTCTGTGCAGAGCTCTCCTGCTACCTGATGCGTGAGACCAAAGTCACACCAGATCCGCACGTGTAGATGGGTGCTCCTGTGGCGTTAGCTTTGGGGGTCCTGCTCTGGGTGCTGCGTCCACTGGTCTAGCAGCAGGGACACTTGGAGGTGGGAGCCGTGTGAACGGCTTTCTGTTTGGGAAGATCCTAGACCACACTGGGCTCTTTACACATCTGGTTTCTGTCCCCATGGCAGGAAGAGCAAGTGGGTGGCTGCTCAGGCCATACCTGCTGTGGAGACGTTCACCGTGTTGCTGGGATCGCTGATGTAGCTGCCAGCAAAGGCCACCAGTCGGAACTCGTAGAAGGCGTCCTGGGGGAGCAAAGCGCCATCAGCTTGTTGGCACGGCAGCCAGCCAAGCCTCAGCCCACACTGCTGCAGAGCCGAGTGGCTCTACGGCATCACCAGACACCCCAGCTCTGGGTAGCAGCAACACAGGAGATGTGACCCCCTCCCCTGCTGCATCCTCCCCAGAGCTGCCCCACAGCCAGGGAGCACCTGGTACGATTCCCACCTTGATGAGTCCTGGCACCAGGACCTGGGTCGTCGTGCTGGGGATGGAGCGGTCCAGCACCTCCCAGCTGCCCTTGTCCTGCCGCAGCTCCAGCGCGTAGCCGCTCAGAGCCACCGCGGACTGCGCTGGGGGCTCCCACTGCAGCAGGACCCCACGCACAGTCTCGTTGGCGGTCAGAGCCTGCGGCGGGGACAGGAAGACGCGCACGGTCATGGCTGGTGGCTCTGGAGGCACTGTGGTCACTGGGAAGCCTGAGGAGAAAAGGGATGCTGGTGCGGGAGCTGCTGCAGGGGGACAGCAGGGCAGAAACAGGAGCATCTCATGTGCTTGAGGGCTCTGGGGGGAGGAGGGCTGCTTTGGGGAACACACGGGCCCCCTCTTACCCCTGGGCACGGAGGTGACGATCTGGCTGAAGGGGCCGCTGCCCAGCTTGTTCTGGGCCAGGACACTGAACTGGTAGCTCATGTCTGGCTGCAGATTCTCCACCAAGAGGTGCTGAGCCCCCACCGGCACCGAGAGTGACACCCAGTCATGATGGGCCCGGGGCGGGTGCTTCACCCTGAGGAGATGTGGGACCCGTGAGTCCAGAGCTGAGGGCCCCAGGTGGGGCAGAGGGGGTGTGGGACACCAGACCCTGCCCACCGGGACTCACAGCGGTGTGTACCAGACGCTGAACCTCTGGAAATAACCCCCGTCAAACCCCGGCTCCCAGGAGATGTTGGCTGCCAGCAGCAGTGGGAGCACAGAGACATTAGTGACAGCATGAGGACTGGTACCTGGTGGGGGAAGCAGAGAGAAGACCTATCAGACCGGGCAGCTCAGACAATAGCTGTGCAGTGGCATTTCCATCCCTTCCAGCACAGGGGGTCTGGTGTCATCCACCCGAGGGCAGCCCACCACCTACAGCATCTGCCCAGCAGGGACCGGCAACTCACCCAGCACGTGAACGGAGGTGGCAGTGCTGACGCTGGCCACCTGGTTGGTGGCCGTGCACTCCCAGACCCCGTGCTGCTCCTTGACAAGCGGGCGGAAGATGAGGCTGCTTTTCACCTGGGCGCCTCTCTTCCCAGTGCTGCCCACCTGCACGCCAAGGCATGGACACACTGAGGGTGGGCGACCACCCAGGGCTGGGACAGCCAACACGATCCACCACCCTGGGGCTGGTTTAGGAACCAAACGGCAGGATTTTGCCCCGGTTTCTTAGAGGGCAACACAAGCAAAAGTGCCCTGAGCCCCTTCTCCCACAGGAACCAGGAGAGATGTGTCCATGTAGCATCATGGACACGGGGACGGCCCTGCAGCGATGGCCCAGGAGCCAAAAGCGGCGTCCGCCTCCCAGGAGGGCTCAGCTGGTTCCCCAGGGCAGTGGCTCCTACCTTCAGCCAGGTGATGGTTGGAGGGGGGTCCCCACGGGCGGCGCAAGGGATCACCAGCTCCCGGC